GTAGCAAGTGGTGTCACATGCCCCGCTTATGTCCCAGATTGGACGCCGTAATTGAGCCAAAATCGGCCGAAAACAGTGGTCGCTGGGGGTTCGGCGCTCGTTCTGGCTCGTTGTGGACCCTTCAGCCCCAAGATAGAGACATTGTAAGGCATGCCTGCAGTCTGTGTACGTGTCCCCTCCATGACTGAGCCCCGATGCTGGTGTCACATGCCCTATGTCACGAGCTGAGGGCTGACCAACACGTCCCGGGCGGTCATTTTGACGTGGAAACCTAGCCTAGCAAACATGAAAATCAAACATATCCTTCCCCAAGCTGGCGACCTAATCTCTCCGGTTTTGATAAGGCCATGGGCATACCTGAACGCCCATGGGTAGCAAGTGGTGTCACATGCCCCGCTTATGTCCCAGATTGGACGCCGTAATTGAGCCAAAATCGGCCGAAAACAGTGGTCGCTGGGGGTTCGGCGCTCGTTCTGGCTCGTTGTGGACCCTTCAGCCCCAAGATAGAGACATTGTAAGGCATGCCTGCAGTCTGTGTACGTGTCCCCTCCATGACTGAGCCCCGATGCTGGTGTCACATGCCCTATGTCACGAGCTGAGGGCTGACCAACACGTCCCGGGCGGTCATTTTGACGTGGAAACCTAGCCTAGCAAACATGAAAATCAAACATATCCTTCCCCAAGCTGGCGACCTAATCTCTCCGGTTTTGATAAGGCCATGGGCATACCTGAACGCCCATGGGTAGCAAGTGGTGTCACATGCCCCGCTTATGTCCCAGATTGGACGCCGTAATTGAGCCAAAATCGGCCGAAAACAGTGGTCGCTGGGGGTTCGGCGCTCGTTCTGGCTCGTTGTGGACCCTTCAGCCCCAAGATAGAGACATTGTAAGGCATGCCTGCAGTCTGTGTACGTGTCCCCTCCATGACTGAGCCCCGATGCTGGTGTCACATGCCCTATGTCACGAGCTGAGGGCTGACCAACACGTCCCGGGCGGTCATTTTGACGTGGAAACCTAGCCTAGCAAACATGAAAATCAAACATATCCTTCCCCAAGCTGGCGACCTAATCTCTCCGGTTTTGATAAGGCCATGGGCATACCTGAACGCCCATGGGTAGCAAGTGGTGTCACATGCCCCGCTTATGTCCCAGATTGGACGCCGTAATTGAGCCAAAATCGGCCGAAAACAGTGGTCGCTGGGGGTTCGGCGCTCGTTCTGGCTCGTTGTGGACCCTTCAGCCCCAAGATAGAGACATTGTAAGGCATGCCTGCAGTCTGTGTACGTGTCCCCTCCATGACTGAGCCCCGATGCTGGTGTCACATGCCCTATGTCACGAGCTGAGGGCTGACCAACACGTCCCGGGCGGTCATTTTGACGTGGAAACCTAGCCTAGCAAACATGAAAATCAAACATATCCTTCCCCAAGCTGGCGACCTAATCTCTCCGGTTTTGATAAGGCCATGGGCATACCTGAACGCCCATGGGTAGCAAGTGGTGTCACATGCCCCGCTTATGTCCCAGATTGGACGCCGTAATTGAGCCAAAATCGGCCGAAAACAGTGGTCGCTGGGGGTTCGGCGCTCGTTCTGGCTCGTTGTGGACCCTTCAGCCCCAAGATAGAGACATTGTAAGGCATGCCTGCAGTCTGTGTACGTGTCCCCTCCATGACTGAGCCCCGATGCTGGTGTCACATGCCCTATGTCACGAGCTGAGGGCTGACCAACACGTCCCGGGCGGTCATTTTGACGTGGAAACCTAGCCTAGCAAACATGAAAATCAAACATATCCTTCCCCAAGCTGGCGACCTAATCTCTCCGGTTTTGATAAGGCCATGGGCATACCTGAACGCCCATGGGTAGCAAGTGGTGTCACATGCCCCGCTTATGTCCCAGATTGGACGCCGTAATTGAGCCAAAATCGGCCGAAAACAGTGGTCGCTGGGGGTTCGGCGCTCGTTCTGGCTCGTTGTGGACCCTTCAGCCCCAAGATAGAGACATTGTAAGGCATGCCTGCAGTCTGTGTACGTGTCCCCTCCATGACTGAGCCCCGATGCTGGTGTCACATGCCCTATGTCACGAGCTGAGGGCTGACCAACACGTCCCGGGCGGTCATTTTGACGTGGAAACCTAGCCTAGCAAACATGAAAATCAAACATATCCTTCCCCAAGCTGGCGACCTAATCTCTCCGGTTTTGATAAGGCCATGGGCATACCTGAACGCCCATGGGTAGCAAGTGGTGTCACATGCCCCGCTTATGTCCCAGATTGGACGCCGTAATTGAGCCAAAATCGGCCGAAAACAGTGGTCGCTGGGGGTTCGGCGCTCGTTCTGGCTCGTTGTGGACCCTTCAGCCCCAAGATAGAGACATTGTAAGGCATGCCTGCAGTCTGTGTACGTGTCCCCTCCATGACTGAGCCCCGATGCTGGTGTCACATGCCCTATGTCACGAGCTGAGGGCTGACCAACACGTCCCGGGCGGTCATTTTGACGTGGAAACCTAGCCTAGCAAACATGAAAATCAAACATATCCTTCCCCAAGCTGGCGACCTAATCTCTCCGGTTTTGATAAGGCCATGGGCATACCTGAACGCCCATGGGTAGCAAGTGGTGTCACATGCCCCGCTTATGTCCCAGATTGGACGCCGTAATTGAGCCAAAATCGGCCGAAAACAGTGGTCGCTGGGGGTTCGGCGCTCGTTCTGGCTCGTTGTGGACCCTTCAGCCCCAAGATAGAGACATTGTAAGGCATGCCTGCAGTCTGTGTACGTGTCCCCTCCATGACTGAGCCCCGATGCTGGTGTCACATGCCCTATGTCACGAGCTGAGGGCTGACCAACACGTCCCGGGCGGTCATTTTGACGTGGAAACCTAGCCTAGCAAACATGAAAATCAAACATATCCTTCCCCAAGCTGGCGACCTAATCTCTCCGGTTTTGATAAGGCCATGGGCATACCTGAACGCCCATGGGTAGCAAGTGGTGTCACATGCCCCGCTTATGTCCCAGATTGGACGCCGTAATTGAGCCAAAATCGGCCGAAAACAGTGGTCGCTGGGGGTTCGGCGCTCGTTCTGGCTCGTTGTGGACCCTTCAGCCCCAAGATAGAGACATTGTAAGGCATGCCTGCAGTCTGTGTACGTGTCCCCTCCATGACTGAGCCCCGATGCTGGTGTCACATGCCCTATGTCACGAGCTGAGGGCTGACCAACACGTCCCGGGCGGTCATTTTGACGTGGAAACCTAGCCTAGCAAACATGAAAATCAAACATATCCTTCCCCAAGCTGGCGACCTAATCTCTCCGGTTTTGATAAGGCCATGGGCATACCTGAACGCCCATGGGTAGCAAGTGGTGTCACATGCCCCGCTTATGTCCCAGATTGGACGCCGTAATTGAGCCAAAATCGGCCGAAAACAGTGGTCGCTGGGGGTTCGGCGCTCGTTCTGGCTCGTTGTGGACCCTTCAGCCCCAAGATAGAGACATTGTAAGGCATGCCTGCAGTCTGTGTACGTGTCCCCTCCATGACTGAGCCCCGATGCTGGTGTCACATGCCCTATGTCACGAGCTGAGGGCTGACCAACACGTCCCGGGCGGTCATTTTGACGTGGAAACCTAGCCTAGCAAACATGAAAATCAAACATATCCTTCCCCAAGCTGGCGACCTAATCTCTCCGGTTTTGATAAGGCCATGGGCATACCTGAACGCCCATGGGTAGCAAGTGGTGTCACATGCCCCGCTTATGTCCCAGATTGGACGCCGTAATTGAGCCAAAATCGGCCGAAAACAGTGGTCGCTGGGGGTTCGGCGCTCGTTCTGGCTCGTTGTGGACCCTTCAGCCCCAAGATAGAGACATTGTAAGGCATGCCTGCAGTCTGTGTACGTGTCCCCTCCATGACTGAGCCCCGATGCTGGTGTCACATGCCCTATGTCACGAGCTGAGGGCTGACCAACACGTCCCGGGCGGTCATTTTGACGTGGAAACCTAGCCTAGCAAACATGAAAATCAAACATATCCTTCCCCAAGCTGGCGACCTAATCTCTCCGGTTTTGATAAGGCCATGGGCATACCTGAACGCCCATGGGTAGCAAGTGGTGTCACATGCCCCGCTTATGTCCCAGATTGGACGCCGTAATTGAGCCAAAATCGGCCGAAAACAGTGGTCGCTGGGGGTTCGGCGCTCGTTCTGGCTCGTTGTGGACCCTTCAGCCCCAAGATAGAGACATTGTAAGGCATGCCTGCAGTCTGTGTACGTGTCCCCTCCATGACTGAGCCCCGATGCTGGTGTCACATGCCCTATGTCACGAGCTGAGGGCTGACCAAACACGTCCCGGGCGGTCATTTTGACGTGGAAACCTAGCCTAGCAAACATGAAAATCAAACATATCCTTCCCCAAGCTGGCGACCTAATCTCTCCGGTTTTGATAAGGCCATGGGCATACCTGAACGCCCATGGGTAGCAAGTGGTGTCACATGCCCCGCTTATGTCCCAGATTGGACGCCGTAATTGAGCCAAAATCGGCCGAAAACAGTGGTCGCTGGGGGTTCGGCGCTCGTTCTGGCTCGTTGTGGACCCTTCAGCCCCAAGATAGAGACATTGTAAGGCATGCCTGCAGTCTGTGTACGTGTCCCCTCCATGACTGAGCCCCGATGCTGGTGTCACATGCCCTATGTCACGAGCTGAGGGCTGACCAACACGTCCCGGGCCGTAATTTTTCCGGATTGTGCGACAACCTGTATATTCTAATTAATTGTGTATGACTTTTCCGACCTTTTTTATACTTTATTTACATAAACTGAATTTATTATTGAATTATCAAACTATTGACAGTGTCATATTACATTATTTAAAGGCATTGAATGTGTACAAGGTAAATTATTACAGGTCGGAAACTATCCAGCGTAAGGCGGAGAATATCCTGCGTTCCGGATTCCGTGTACTGGAACTTTTTATTTTACCTGACTTTGCTAGATAGAAGTTTGGTCGATCATTTGTGGTTATCGTGTCCGATCAAATTAATAAGCAACCGGAAGTTCCAGCCCACCTCCTTTTATATTTTGGAATAAGGGCATAAAACTAAGTATGTTTTCACCGTTTTAACGTTTATTAGGAATACATTTTGCCTCAAATACAATTATCTTTTTCAACTTTTGCTAACTGTATCCGGTTAAGGGTATAAATAAGTGCTTTTGTCGTTAATTTAAAGATAAATTATGCCGAAAGACTACCGGAAGTGAAGAAATAGTCATGTCAATATCGATAAATTTTAGTTTGGCTTAAAATTTTTGAACCCTGTCAAGGTTTCCGAATTTAATTCAGAGTAAGAAAAATTATGTGCAGCCTAAAAGTGTATGGGACTCGAACCCAGAACCTTTGGAATATGTATACCTTAGATGTCCCAACTGGGCGAACCGTTTACACATAGCCCAACAAACTGGAATCCGGGTCAGCTCGGCCCTAAAACGTACTCGGCCCCCGAGTCAGCTCGGCCCTATTCCAACTCGGCACGGGTCAACTCGGCCCACTTTTCAATTATTAATATTTAGGTTTGTGTTATCACTATTTATTGTAATAATTGTAATTATTTTATAAAACACGGATTGACAGTTTCCGAACTAGCAGCAGACAGGCTTTTCTTATCAGTAGAATTGCGAATAAAGATATTTCTGACTCGTGGTAGGTTTAACTGTAAATTTAAATACCTTCAGTGTCAAACAATGTGTTGAATATATACTGAGAGGAAGCTAAGATCACCAGCTTTTAATTGGTGTAATAAATTTTAAAATTGGACATTAAATCGCACTAGCGATGAACACGGCTAAATTTTCATTCTTTTGCAAGCGAAGGGAAACTAAGGGAAACAACTCTTGTCTTTCTTCACTCGATTTACCTCGGTTATTTACGTAGTTCAAAAAGAGACTGTCAATTGGTGGAGACAAAAAGAGTTTATAAATTATAACATAGAGCAAACAGTGCTTATATATAGCTTATGATATTAAGAAAACACGTTTTTGTTTCATATTTTTTTGAATATTACTTTACAAACAAAATGCATCTAAGGAAACACATTTTTATTAGATCTATATTAACTTTTTTTGTAAATATACTTTATTTCGGCAGAAGTACAATGTATCCTAGTACCGTGACCCAAATTCGGCGTTCTCCTAAATTCGGCGATGTTTTGTTTTTCATCATTCACGCGAGATTTCAGAGGTGAAGGTCAATCATGTTTATGTCCCACCGTCTATTTGTACAACTCCAGTCATTTTCTGCGCTAAATATGGAGATACGGCTGGTAAACATTAAAAATTGTATATGACATGGAGAAAATAGTGTCTTTTACCCGATGCAATTTCAAGTTTATCTATACTTTCCTCTATTTGATTGATAGTGTTGCTTAAAATAATTTGACAGTCGCCGTTTTTTTATCTAATATTAAACTAGCTATTTTTACTGCCGATCTAGGTCAACATACTACGTCACAATCCCGCCAAAATAAAAAAAATACTGCAACCAATCAGAATGCCGAATTTAGGTGACGTTTTCAGATCGTAGTAAGATTTTACATCAGCCATATTTGTTTATATTTGGCAACCGCTGAACGATTACATTGTTAGAAATGAACTTAAAGTAACTTTTAAATATTTTTAGTAAAATTATATCAAGTATAATCATAGATTACTGTAGTTTATTGAAAATGCCATTGACATTTGTTCTTATATCGCCGAATTTAGGTTACACCGGGATATAATTATATAATAATAAGATATTTCTTATTATTCATTTACCTGAACAACATGCAAAGCAAAGTTAATATGTTATATATATTTTTGTAAAGTGGGCCGAGTTGACCCGTGCCGAGTTGGTATAGGGCCGAGTTGACTCTTTTTAAACTTTAAACTAAACATATAATAATATACAGTTCTACAAATTCTGTTTTCTGTTACAGACATTAAAGATGACTGACTCAAAGTACTTCACCACCACCAAGAAAGGTAAGGCTTAAAAATAGTTATTTGTCCATTATAAGTGAGAAAGTAACTGCATATACACCTTTTTTACCTTATTTAAATTAATGAAAAGAGATATAAATTTTAAATGCATTTTTATTTTTGTAGAATAATACATGATTCAAATGTGCAGTTATTATTCCCTGCCGATGGAATCGGGAGGGGGATATCAGGGCTCTCGATTGACACGGGGATCCGGGTTTTGACTCGTGAAAATCAGGAAATGCACAAATTTGACACGTGATAAAATCTGCACAAGAGTCAATTTGCCACATGGGATTTTCAGCTATGCAATAATAATTACCTTAAATCTACTCCTAATTACCTATCAAATCCTACATAATATTATGTTCAAATCACACTCAAAAAAATGTCACCCTGTGTAATACACAGCATTGTTTATAGTCTGTGCACTGAAGCGCGACATCATTGGATGCAATTTGACAGCGCTAAAAATAGCTCTACACAACTGATAAGAATTACATACTTGAGGTGTTAATTATTGATTGCTTTTAAAGGTTTATGATACGTCTTTGATTTACTTGGGGTGCCTGTACATTTGTTATTTCCATTAAATATTCCTAGTACATTTTGGTATTTAAATTAATATGTCATATATAGCATACCAGTAAAGATATTTTTTTATATTTTAAACTTTTAATCAGAAAAGCTGCTGCTTAATTTATTCTTTCACAACAAAGATGCAATTCATTTTTTTTGTTGTTGTTTTAGTTGTCTTTTTTTTTGGGGGGGGGGGGGATATATATACATTATAACTAGGCATTTTTTCCATGTTAAATATTATTAATTTAGACTTGAGAATCTACACAAAATGACCTCCAATACAGTAACTAATTTTTGTAACATAAAAATGATTCATGTAGTCAAATGACACTTAAGAAAAAAATTATTTGACTCATGAAAATTTTGGCCAAAGAGTCTTTGACTCGTGAAATTCTGACCCTACTGAGAGCCCTGGGATATTGTTTTGGCGTTGTCCGTCTGTCCTTCTGTCAGTCCGAATTTAGTTTCCGCGCTACTTCTCTGCAACTACTGACTGGAATTCAACAAATTTTCATGGGAACCTTCAATACCAAGAGGAGATGTGCATATTGTCGTTGAGGCAATTTATTGAAAATTTGCACTCTGAAGTAATTTCTTTATTTTTCAGGTGAGATATTTGAGTTGAAGGCGGAGTTAAACAGTGATAAGAAGGAAAAGAAAAAGGAGGCTGTTAAGAAAGTCATTGCTAGCATGACAGTTGGAAAAGATGTGAGGTAAGCAGAAAAATATATAAAATTTGCTTATATCTTATATATACATTTAGAAAAGACAGAATGTTATTCCTTTGAAAAAGTCTTTGTGCTTTTTAAAGATAAAACTAAGAGCATTTAAATCTTCATGAGTGAGACTAAATAAAGGATTGGAGCACCACACTAAAAACTGTATTCCGGTATATACCGGACAAGGCGCTTGAATCGTAAAATGCCAAAATCTTGCTTTTTTACGCAACGGAATGAACTTTAATAGGTCTAATTCATCTTTTCACACTGATTTATGTATGATAATGCATGAAAAATGTTAAAATCAGCGAAAAAAACGATATTTGTCTATTTTGTGATCATGATTTCTGCAAGCGTCTAAAGGTACTGCTCCAATCCTGTATTGAGCTAAATCCAATCTTCATACATGTATATAAAGTGATTATATCTGTTGAATAGCCCCTCTGGGCACTGTATGCAAAGGTAGTACTTGAGAGGGTTCTAACTAAGAATGGCATTTGATGTCATACAGTTTGTTGTCTTGCTGGAAACCGTAATCATAAGTTTTGAGGGATAACGTTTGATTTAAATGTGGTATTTTCTACATTAAAATCAGCCATAAATTAAAAGAACTGGCATATTTTCCAAAATAAAATGAGCCGCGTCATGACAAAACCAACATAATGGGTTTGCGACCAGCATGGATCCAGATCAGCCTGCGCATCCGTGCAGTCTGATCAGGATCCATGATGTTCGCTTACAGACCCTTTAACAAGTAAAGAAACTGCTAGCGAACAGCATGGATCCTGATCAGACTGTGCGGATGCCCAGGCTGGTCTGGATCCATGCTGGTTGCAATCCCATTATGTTGGTTTTGCCGTGACACAGCTCAAATATGAATGAGTATAAGTATATAAAACAATCTTTCAGCATGGACATACATAAATTTTACATAAATTTTTGTGTGTGTGTTTTCAGTGCACTGTTCCCAGATGTTGTAAATTGTATGCAGACAGACAATCTGGAGTTGAAGAAACTGGTGTACCTATATCTGATGAACTATGCTAAAAGTCAACCTGATATGGCCATTATGGCTGTTAACACATTTGTCAAGGTTTGTGTACTGAGTCAATATTGAAAGACTTATAAATACACTTTTATAGGTGAAATATTTATGCTGTAGATGAATGTATATTACTGAAATATTTTGCAAATATCTAAGGAGAAAAATGCTAAGGTATTCCATCCATCAATACCAAGTCCATATTTAAGAAACACATAAAATCAAATATATTTTAGAATAACAATGTATTTCACATGTAAATGCAAATTTTCAATTACTTTAACCTTGCTGTTTGTGTAAAATGACTAATTTTTCATAAAATTAAAGAGGTTCTCAACTTGAGATTAACTTTAGAATGAAGTGTAAAAATAGAGCCAAGAAACGAAAAGTTCATGTTATGTTTGACTATTTTGTAGGACTGTGAGGATTCTAACCCCCTGATCCGGGCTTTAGCTGTCAGAACTATGGGCTGTATTAGAGTAGACAAGATCACAGAGTATTTGTGTGAACCTCTGAGAAAATGCTTGAAGGTAGGTTTAGCTTATTTAATTATTCTTTTTTGTGTAACAATGGATCTACTTTTGGAAGCATCTAGAAATGTGTATACAATAATATTAAAACTTAATTGCTTTGTTTAGTTATAAGAATGTTAACAGCCTATAAATGGCAACCAATGCGACAGGTTCAGACCAAGATATGCTGTCTGATCATGATCTAAATTGTTCACTATTCAGTCTGTGTATACATTGTATACTTCAAATTTTTCAATGGTTTTGTCCAGGTTGAAAGACGGACAAGTCCATATAAGATATTTAACGTTGAAAGGGTTAAATAAAATGAAAATTACCAAACAAAAAACAGACATGAAAAAGTGCTACCTAAGTAGTTAAGATGTCTGAAATTAAATGTTTATGGTATTTTTTATAGGAGTTTCTTGAAACTAAGCCTTATTATAGAAAACTTCTATTTAAACTTAGACTTTTAAACAAAATATTTTGATTGCTTTGTAAAGAGTTCCAATGGGATATGATTCTGTGTACATTTAAATCTTACTACCAAACTAGAGAAAATTGGATACTAATACTTTAGAATATATACATGTATATATATTTTATTTCACGTTGAAGGATGAAGATCCGTATGTGAGGAAGACAGCAGCTGTATGTGTAGCTAAACTTCATGATATAAATGCACAGCTTGTGGAGGATCAGGGATTCTTAGATCTTCTCAAGGACCTTCTGTCAGATTCCAACCCTATGGTAATAATCATTCACTACTGTATTACAATATAAATTCTGATGTCAATGTAAGTTTTATTTATAAGAGATTTAAAAACAAACAACATAACTTTCAGTGTGAGAATGGTTATCATACTATTGTTATCACATTATATCTCTTGTGTTATATATGACAAACATTATGACCAGCCCTGACCAAATTGTTGTTGTTGTAAGTAGACTGTTATGATTAAATTTTCCTGAAAACACCATGAGTAGCTGCAAATTAAATTATCATTTAACAATAATCTCAAATGCTAGAAAAGTGGTTAAATTTATTGTCAATTACATGATTACATAATTCTGGATATAGTCTGGTATTCTAGCCGCTGTGTTAATTTATTATCAGACAGTATAAGAATAGAATTTTCTTTAACCATGGATTATTTTTAGAACAACTACTCATGTTACCATATAATTGACAGGTGGTTGCCAATGCTGTTGCAGCTATATCTGAGATTATGGATGCTTCCCCTAATGCTGCCCAGGTGTTAGAGATGAACTCGGGAACCATCAATAAACTTCTTACTGCTCTTAATGAATGTACCGAGTAAGTCTTTGTTAAATTTGTTGATATACTTTATTGAATTAGGTGTGATTGGGTCCATGTAGAAAGAAGTTTGTTACGGTAAAAAAAAAATAGCTTATACTGAAGACCTCATTTTCAGTAACTGAATTTGTACATCTTAACTATTATCTTATTTGTCTGACATTTTCTTTAATTTAAGATGCTTTACAGGTAGTATATAGATAATTGAATGTTTAACCCAAGTTTTCCTTATCTGAAAAGCTGGGGAGACTTAAAATACCAATAAGACAGGAGATCTGAAAAAATTGACACTTTTAGTATGAATAAGGAAAAAAAAAGCACATAATTCAAGTATTAAAAAAATCCATACTTTATAACATTAAAATGCCATGGAAATTTGATAGTCCCACTCCTTTTTTCCTTCCTTTATATCTATTGAGCCAAGTTTTCTGTTAATAGCTGAACTCAAAAATTGTAAGCCTTTGCGCAATAATTGCCATCATTATATGACATTCCCTCCTTTGTTACAGGTGGGGTCAGGTATTTATTCTGGATTCAATCTCAAACTATACACCTAAAGATGAGAGGGAGGCACAGAGTATTTGTGAGAGAGTCACACCACGATTGGCCCATGCTAATGCAGCCGTGGTGCTCTCTGCTGTCAAGGTAAGCCTGAAATATTCTATAAGTCATATGTTACCAAAGCAACATACAGCCATCTTAAAGGCACATTATTCATAAGAAATCCATAGTTATTAAATTCTTTAGAAATGTCAAACATGTGTTTAATAATGTTTTAATAATGGATTTAGAATATCTTAGATGTTTAACAGCTGAAGAAAGTAGCTCTGAAGCAAAATTTAATGAAGTACTGTAAATCACTTTATATTCGCGTGATCTTTATTTCGCGAAAACCCCACTTCCGGATTATTTCGCGTATTCATGAATTCGCGATGGCAGGGTCAGAAATTTATATTCGCGATTATTTGAATTTTATTTCCGCAATATAACAGGGTGGGTTGAAGTTAATTCCTATACTGTGTCGCTCTTATGCAAGGTAAATGTTAATGGTGTTTATAAGAGACGGGTTTTATTATTCATTTTAAATAAAAAATGTACCTTCATACATGTAATTTACTTATTATGAACGGTTTCTCTAATTATTGTCAAATTTGTTTTTTGTTTGCAAATTACGTGTTTGATAAAACGTTAAATGTTTGTAAGAAGGTGTTATATACTTGTTTATGATACTTAATCTACCGTATGAAAATTGTATGTTTATCACTGTTTTACCGTAAATCTATTGTCATCTAAACAATGTGTGTTTTTTTTTATTTGTGGATATTGTCTCTTTTTGTGTTTTACATGCATGTATTCATGGGGAAAAAAGGAATGGGAAAAATCTTTGACCTTCATATCTTTATTATAATTCGTATATTTAATATGTATATAAAACATTGCTCATATTTTATTTTTTGCATTCAGTTTTTGTATTCATTACAAAACTTAATCACAATTCGAAAAAAATTTTCATCAGAATTTTTTTTTTATAATTTATGTTATGTTATAAAATTTACGCGGCATCATGAATTCGCGACGCGGCCGATTCGCGAATAATAGCGAAAATTAAAACATCGCGAAAAATACCGGATTTACAGTAGTATTTTGACTTCACTATAATTATACCAATTGCCAACAAAACAAAAGAAAGGTGGTTCATCTCTATGGCAAATGAGTATTTTTGAGGAACTGTAACAAGATACCAAATATTTTAAGTTTTTTGTAAAATAAAAATGATTGCATTTGTAAGGCATAATGGGTCTTTAAGATAATAATGGTTGCCTTGGCAGTGCTTTGTTATATGCATATTTTATTTCTTATATTTGTCTTGAGTTAAAGTATTTGAGGTTTTAATGGTGTTAATAGTGATAAACAGACATTTCTATTATAAAAAAAATAATAGTAAAAATGTTATTGATAATTGTTGCTGTAACAAGATCTTAAGCCTGAAATTTTTAAAAACAAAATTTAATGGTCTGTCACTGAATGATATAAATGATATTCTTCATGGCTTTCAACATAAGCTGTTGTTGTTATACTTAAATCATCACAGAAAGGTGTATTGATGTAGTATAAAGATTTGAATCTCGATGAAATAAATAACAAAACTGCCAATTTTATATTTTATTTTGATATTTAAGGTTGTGATGAAGCTGATGGAAATGTTGGACACTTCAGGCGATTATGTGTCATCACTGGTGAAGAAATTAGCCCCGCCACTTGTCACACTGCTCTCAGCCGAGCCAGAAATACAATATGTAGCTCTGAGGAATATCAACTTGATTGTTCAGAAGAGGTTAGTTTCTATACCATATTTTGTAGTAAGTAGTGCAATATTGGTAGAAAGTATTGCAGTATTTCAAAAATCCTAAGTATATAAGTTGTTAAGTTACATTTTCTGTCCAACCTGCCTGCAATTATCTTGATATACAAAACGCATTGTGACTGTCTGAAATATACTTGTCTGGAATATGATGTTGTTAGACTAAAAACAGATTACTGAACCATTACTAGAAACCTATTAAAACAACAGAAACTTTTAACTGTGAAAATGATTTTCATTTGGCAAGCTTTTGTTCACATAATCATATGACGTGTTGCTGTAGGGTTTCTAGTTGAACTACAACGATTTAAGATTAAAATAGTTAATGAAGCTGTTATAATGTAGAAGTTTTGTTCTAAATTGTTGCTCTGGGCCAGGTAAGGTACTAGGTTTTCAGTAAAAATAAAGGGGTGAAAAGCATGCGTACATGTATTACAAACTGGCAAATATTTTGCCTTTCAGGAATTGCCACCGCCAACCTGTCCATTCAGGAAGTCTTACCAGGCTAATAGGCTAATTTCCCAAATTGATAATGGACAGTTCTAGAAATGGAAGCTGAAAAAGTTCATTTAAAAAAAAATTCAGCAGATTTAAGGTCAAGTATATTTATGTTTATTTTCTTTATTACAGGTCAGACATCTTGAAGAACGAGATGAAAGTATTCTTTGTAAAGTATAATGATCCTATATACGTGAAGCTGGAGAAACTCGATATCATGATACGACTAACCAGTCAGTCTAACATCGCACAGGTCCTTGCTGAACTTAAAGAGTAAGTATAGTACTTCCCATAATGTTGCTACAGCAGCTAACATTTGTATGAAAGTAATATCATATAATGAAGCTGATTTAAATCTGAATTATGATGAAAATTCAAAACTTTACTGAATGTTTAAAAAAAATAAGATTCTTATCACATTAAAATTCCATTTAATTAAAATTTTGTAAATGAGGAAGAAAGTTATTCTCTTTTTATTATTTTCTTAATAATTTGGTTGAATATCAATGATATTGAGTGACTATGTAGTGGAGTGGTTAAGGTTAATGTGTTTGGATTGCTTAGCCCTTGTTGCTTTGGGTTTGAATCCAGCCTCGACCTAAAACCAAACAAAAACCTAAACAGAAATGGTAATATTAGTTTTACAAATCTATTTTATTCTCTAATATTTCAGATATGCCACAGAAGTTGATGTAGATTTTGTACGTAAGTCTGTTCGAGCTATTGGTCGCTGTGCCATCAAGGTAGAGCCTGCGGCAGAGAGGTGTGTTAGCACATTGTTAGATCTTATACAGACCAAGGTCAACTACGTTGTACAGGAGGCTATTGTTGTTATCAAGGTAAAAAATTTCTTTCATTACTTGTTTATCTCTTTTAACAGTTGATAAAAATATGTAAATACTTTTGTTTGACATTCAAGAATTTTTTTAGATTTTACATCTTCATTGCTATTCTTGTTTGTCAATCAATCATTTTATTTATGATATGAATTATAATCTTAACTTTATGTTGGAAACTTGATACTTCAAATTTTGAAAGTATTTAATTCAGCAAAAAATGTTGTTTATTCATTATTAAAAATTCTGCTGGTATGCTGTTCATTAAGCCTTGGTCTGGCCTTGGCACAACCATGCTGTGTGGTCATGGTCTGCACTGTTCACTTTTCAGTCAGTACATATTTTGAAATTTGCCCTTAAAAAATGATAATCGGTTTTGTTTAGGTTGAAAGATAGATTAGTCATTTAAGATATTTAGTATGGTTAGTGTTAAATGAGCTTAATATTTTAGCAATAACATTCTTCAACTTCGTCAGGCACATGTTACAATAATAGAATTTTTATATTTTATCATTTTAGGATATATTCCGTAAATACCCAAATAAGTATGAAAGCATAATTGCAACACTGTGTGAGAACTTGGACACTCTTGATGAGCCAGAAGCTCGCGCCTCAATGATCTGGATCATTGGAGAGTATGCTGAACGTATTGACAATGCTGATGAACTTCTCGAAAGTTTCCTCGAGGGATTCCAGGATGAGAACACGCAGGTTCAACTACAACTGTTGACAGCAATCGTGAAACTGTTTTTGAAGAGGCCTACAGACACACAGGAGCTTGTTCAGCAAGTACTTAGTCTGTCCACACAGGTTTGTGATATACTAAAATTGATCTTTTATTTTATACTGTCTTCAGGTAATGAAGTTGAAACATGGATTAGCTAAATCTTTCTGTTAACTTCAGAAGTTTTATAGGAGGTTTGCAATGAATAACGTTAAATAGCATAGTGATTGATGACGGCATTATTTTATTCCCCTGCTCTTTTACAACTTCCATTAAAATACACGGTATTGTACACATACATGTTATTTCTTGCATATCAGATGAATTTGTAAATTTACATTACTATTAGAAAAAAGGGCACTATCTAGCTCTTGGGTTACTGTTTGGCAGAGCCTTTTTATCACAGTAAATATTTACTATCAAGCTTTATATTCAGTTCTGTAGCCAGTGTAAAACTCTTAACTTTTCACCCTCCTCAGGTAGACTATTGTGTATTGGATCTATGTTTTACACAAAGCTTTTATATAAATATAACATTATAAAATATTTTCATATTCTTCATTCAGGACAGTGACAATCCTGACTTGCGTGACAGAGGATACATATACTGGAGATTGCTGTCGACAGATCCTGCTGCTGCAAAGGAAGTTGTCCTTGCTGAGAAGCCTCTAATCTCGGAGGAGACCGACCTGATTGAGCCGACGTTGCTGGATGAACTGATATGTCATATCTCAAGTCTCGCATCTGTCTACCATAAACCTCCTAATGCTTTTGTTGAAGGACGTGGCGGTCAAAGACGTGTCTTACCAGCTAAATCTCAACAGTAAGCTTATTGAAAATATAAGATTTTGTATGATCCTTAAGATTTTGTGTCAATTATTAGACTTTAATGGGTTTGATAACGTTTAATGA